CACCTGCGCTGCTGGTGCCAACTGTGCCTTCTGTGCCTTCTGTTCCACCTGTGCCACCTGTGCCTGATGTGCTGCCTGCGCCGCCTGTGCCTTCTGTGCCGCCTGTGTTGCCTGTGCCACCTGTGCCGCCTGTGTCGCCCGTGCCACCTGAGCAGCCGGTGCCATCTGTGCCTTCTGTGCTGCCGGTGCTGGCTGTTCCGCCGACGTCGCCTGTTTCATCTGTGCCTTCTGTGCCGCTGGTGCCACCTGTGCAGCCGGTGCCACCGGTGCCGCTTGTGCCGCCTGTGCCTTATGCGCCGCTGGTGCCTTCTGTGCAGCCGGTGCCACCTGTGCCTTCTGTGCCGCCTGTGCCTGCTGTGCTGCCTGTGCTGCCTGTGCCACCTGTGCCATCTGTGCCGCTGGTGCCGCCGGTGTCGCCTGCACTGCTGGTGCCTTTTGTGCCTTTGGTGCCTTCTGTGCCACCTGTGCCACCTGTGCCTGCTGTGCCGCCTGTGCCGCCTGTTCCACTGGTGCCGCCTGCGCCTTCTGTGCTGTCTGTACAGCTGGTGCCGCCTGTGCCACCTGTGCCATCTGTGCAGCCGGTGCCATCTGTGCCGTCTGTGCTGCCGGTGCTGGCTGTTCCGCCGATGTCGCCTGTGCCATCTGTGCCGCTGGTGCCACCGGTGTCTTCTGTGCCTTCTGTGCTGGCTGTGCCTTCTGTGCCGCCTGTGCAGCCTGTGCTGGCTGTTCTGCCGACATCGCCTGTGCCGCTGGTGCCTTCTGTGCTGCCAGTGCCGCCTGTGCCGCCGGTGTCGCTGGTGCCATCTGTGCCACCTGTGTTGCCGATGCCATGTGTGCCTTCTGTATCTTCTGTGCCTTCTGTTCCGCCTGTGTCGCCTGTGCAGCCGGTGCCGCTGGTGCCACCGTTGCCATCTGTGCCACCTGTGCCGCCTTGCCATCTGTGCCGCTGGTGCTGCCTGTATCGCCTGTGCCACCGGCCACGTGCTCCTGGGGAGCGTGTGTGATCGGATCCTCGCAGAGCTCCCACACTGAGAGACCAGAGAAAAGGCTTCAGAGAGCTGTCACTCACCGCTGAGCTCAGAAAAAGGTAAAGCAAGGAGCAGAGGGCAACCAAAGCTGAAACCACACCAGCCAGGCGGGGTCACCGCTGCTCAGTGCCCCGGCTCGCAGGCCTGGCAGGTGTCGTCCAAAACATTGATGTGTCTTTCCCCTCCCCTGTCCCCTCTTTCCCAAGTTCAGAGCAGCTGTTTCACTGATGTGATGGGGGAAGGGGGGGGGGCGGGGAGGGGGAACTCCTCCTGCCCCTTCTTGAGCTCATTCTTCATTTGCGGATCCCCGCTCAGAGAGTCTACTCTCAGAAAAGAGTTCTAACAACCCCGCAGCAGCTTTTGGGGATAAACCACCTTCTCATCCTGCCACCACCGACAATCAGAAATCTGAACCCACCTAAGTGTTTCTGAAAGGGAAGGTGCATCTAGTGCATCATGTGGTCGTCTAGCCCAGTGGTTGGCAAACTCATGAATCCACAGAGCCAACTATCAACAGGAAGACAATTGACATTTCTTTGGAGAGCCACATTTTTTTAAACTTAAACTTCTTCTAACACCACTTCTTCAAAACAGACTCGCCCAGGCCGTGGCATTTTGTGGAAGAGCCACACTCAAAGAGCTAAATGTGGCTCGGGAGCCACAGTTTGCCGACCTCGGTTCTAGCTTCTTGCTTCATCCCCAGTCCCAGACCATTTAGGTCCCAGCAGTGCCCAGGCAAAGGCTAGTGGCCAATCAGAGTGGGCCTCTGGGCTCCTGGCCCGCCTCTTTCCAGGTGGGAGGGGGCGTCTCTGGGGGAGCTGGGGCCCTCTCGCCTGCCTGCAGGTGGGGAAAGTCTGGGAAATGAAGCTGGAGGATTGATGGCATCACCGTTATCCTCTGGCTCCTGACACACCGGAAGCCCACTTGTTCCCCTAAGCCTTTTAAGTGGAGGCTAAAAGATGAAATAAAGAGGGTAGCCGGAGACCGGGATGGCAGGACACAGGCTTAATTGGAGAGAAGGGTACTGCTTTCAGAGAGAGAGAGAGAGAGAGAGAGAGAGAGAGAGCGGAAGAGAGCTAGGGCCCGGTACAAACACCTTTAAGGATAGGGGGCGGGCCTGAGGGCACTCAGCACACCCTGATTGGTGGCTTCATGTAAGGCCTATGATGAGGGACCTAGGGACTTAGGAATGGGTTGCTTAGGGTATTTGGCAGGTGCTGATGGGTGGTTCAGAGCTCAGGGATGTCTGGCTGCAGTGGGGTTTACGTCTGTCCTGATAGGAAGGGAAGACCTATCAGAGGCCAGTTTGAGTTGGTTTGGACAGAGTGCAGACTAACACATGTCTAATGAAAAGACTGCACGCACTGGCAAGAGACTATTTTACAACCTAAAACCGCAGTGTTCATAAGAGCCAGGTGGAACACTGAATGGTAGAAAATATGGTGGAGGGAAAGCAGCACAAGGAAAAGTCATAGGTCTGCAGGTGAAGGAGAGCGCCCAGAACAAGAAAACCCAGTGGTTTCAGGAAGAAAAAAAAAACAAAAAACACCTACGTTCTAACATAGCCTGAGGGAGGTCCCCAGCAGGCAGGCTCATGACAGCCACAGAAGCCAGTAAGCATGTTAGCACCCACCCCTGTTTTTATTTTATTTTTTTTTTACATTCTGGAATTAAAAAAAAAAAAAGTGTATTTAATGGCAATGCACTGCTTTCAAGAGAGGAGCTAACAAGCATATGTAGGTGAGTGGGGAAGGCAGGAAGGTGTACACAGTTCTGAAGGAGGTCAGAAGGAGGCCTGGAACGGGGGTGGGGGTGGGGGTTGGGGGGGTGGTCTTGGGGAAGACAGGGCCTCTCCCTTCCCGGATGGAATCTGGTGGAGCAGGTTCCAGTCCCTCTGTGTGCAGACAAAGGATCCTATCCAGCCATTGCTGCGGTTGCTGCTGGAGGGGTGGGGGGGGGGGGTGGGGGGGAGATAGCCGGTGAGCTGATGAGGAAGGAACCACACTGCAAACCCTGGTGAAGGATCAGCTAAATGGATTCCCTCGAAAATGGAGCTGGAGCTGCCATCCCCGAGGACCTGCCTGCGTGCCATGTGCCTCAGCCCTTTGCAGTGTTAAAGGGGCCTCGGCCCTGGGCCTCTGCAAACTTGTATGGAAAAAAGCCTGCTTGCAGCGATCAGCAGACAGCAGTCACTGTGACACCTGGACCGGTGACCACCAGACAGAGGACCACCGGACAGAGGACCACCGGACTGGGAATTAAATAACACTGTTTAGAATTAGCTTCCCTATGGGATGTCGTCTGCACCAATGGAAATGCCTGGGAAACGTGGGCTTCGGGGCACAGACTTCTTCTCGTGGGCCCTTGTCCGACAAAGTTTGAAGAATAAACTCGTGGACAAAAAGGCTTCTTTAATTAAAAAAAAAATGTGGAAGTTTATCGGAAGCATATACTGATAGATCCTCCCTTACTTCAGTTGATGGACAGACATAAACCCCACCTGCGGACAGACATTCCTGAGCTCTGAACCACCCATCAGCACCTGCCAAATACCCTCAGCCCCCATACCTAAGTCCCTAGGTCCCTAATCAATCAGCTTGTGCTGAATGCCCTAAGCCCCGCCCCGTATCCTTAAAGGTGCTTGTAAGCCCCCTCGCTCACTCTCTTCCGCACCTCTCCGTGGAAGCAGCCGGCAGGGGTGCCCTTCCCTCCAATAAAGCCTGTGTGTCTAATCTATTTAATCTATCATATACAAACTCCATCTGGGCGGGGTGGGAAGAGGGGTCCCCTAAAGGGGTCCCCCTTGGGAGGGGCCCCCAAATGGGAAAAATCTGTGCACATGCTCTCTCTCTCTAATGGGGAAAAAAAATCTACATCCAAAAATCTAAAATGTGTAATCTGCCTGGTGTCCTGTGTCTCCAGTTTATAAATGCTGTAGTTCTTGCTGTGACCCTGACCCTTTCTCATTGGGCCTCTTCCCCATGTTCGGACCCCGTGCTCTCCTGATTGGTCCCCTTTTTGTTTCAAAGTCCAAAGCTCACGTGGTGCCGGTTCTTCTCTCCCCCTCATCTTGCAACATTCCTCTATTTCCTGTGAAAGGATGGTCCCCTCTCTCTGGCATCTATTCTGTGGACATTTCTCAATGTCCTACGAGGTTTCCTCCATCCCGGTACCCCGTGACTTTCCTTTATCCCCTTCTCCGGCGGCATTTCTCTGTCCTTCACATCCCGCCCTACCTGCTCCGGTTGGAGTGGCTTGGATCTCCTTTAGGGCTCTCTCTCTCAGTTGTCTTGGCCAACGGAAGTGTTATTAACCAGGTGGGTCTCCCGGCTGCTCAGGTCAGGGCTGAGTCTGATCCACCTTATAATTGCCTTCATTGCTCAGGCCAGAGGGATACCTCTGTCCTTCCCATATGCATCCTCCCCCGTGGACCCTCTGTATTCCCTAAGCCTGCCTGTGTGGTCCCTAGAATCCCTTTCGCCTTCCTCCGATTGGTGTGATTGTTCTCCTCCCCTGGCTCATGATACTCCTGGCCTCTGTCTCCTAATCAGAATATTACTTGGGCTCCTGCCGGAATTCATGATTCCTCAGGAGCTATCCTTCCTGGTCCCAAATACACAATAGTTTCCCCCCCTCCTCCCTTCCAAAGACCTTTTGTTTTCCGGTGACACCTTTCCCATGAGGGACCCTACTGTCCTCATCAGCACTGGGAAAGAGTGTGCGGGGACTGAGGAAGCCATGAGTTAGCACCCACTCCACCCCCTCCCTCAGGAACGAGGGGCAATGAAGATGGAGGAGAGAGGACAGGTTCACCTTCACAACACTCGCCAGCTGACAGTGCCCGGACCCACAGAGCACAGGAAGGAATGCGCTGGCAAGTCCACAGGCACTTTCTGTGGCGCCCCACCCCGCCCGGCTAGGCCCGGCCCCTTTGATTCTGCTCAGAGCTGAGCCTCTGGCTGAGCCTCCGCCTCACCTGGGGCCAGGGGGCTTGCTTCCCCTTGCTTGGCTGGGGGCTGAGGCAGAGTCGCGCCAGCTTCCTCTTCCTCCGAAGATGAGTTCCTAAGGCTTCTTTCCTGCAAGAGTTTATGTAAAGAAACAAAACCATCCATCTCAGGAGTGCCCTGGGACAGAGGCGGGCAGAGGCGGGCAGAGGCGGGCAGAGCCGGGCCAGCTCTGAAGGCTGGCTCCCAGCTTCATCCTGACCCACTCCACCTGGGAGAGAGGGGCAGGTTACAGGAGCTCCGTGTCCCAGCCAGCCAGGGCCACCGTGACAGAAAGCCACGTGTGATTTCTCATCGCTCTGGAGGCTGCGGGGCCCAGACCAAGGTGCAGACCAATGGGGTCTCTGGTCAGGGATCATGACCCCTCCCCTCTGCCCCCTCCCCCCGCCACGACCTCATGCAACCCCAACCCCTCCCCAAAGCGGCATCTCCAAACTGTCTCCCTGGACCTCCCGCACATGGGACTTAGGGGGACATTTCCATCCCCAGCACCCGCTGTGGCTCAGTGTCCTGTCTGTGCAACCAGGAAGGCCCTCTTCCCAGGCCAGGGGCCTGGAGAGACACATCAAGGGAGACACAGAGGCATGGCCGGGCCTGTCCAGGCTGGGCACCATCATCATCTCCAGGAGCCCTCGTCCGAGGGGCAGCCATGCAAACTGCACACTCTGGCTTCCTTCACAACCTTCCCCTAACTCTGGGTGCCCATGAGGCCTAGTCCCTCTCCCCTCCCTCCAGCCTCACCTGCAGGTGCTCATAGAGCTGGGTGAGTACTGCCAGCTTTCTCTCCCACTCCTCAGCCTGGGCCCTCAGCTGGTCCGCCTCCTCGGTCCTGGCTCCCTCCTTCAGCTGCTTCCAGTCCTTCGCGAGGCTGCTCATGTCCATGCTGAGGAAGAGGCCAGCCAAGGCGCTGCGCTTCAATAAAGCTTTAGTCCCCATCGCCAGCGGGGTGCCTCTGAAGGCTCTCTTCACAATCTTGGTCGTCCGGGCAGAGGCTTGGCCAGTGAGGAGGAGATTCTCTGCGGCCTCAGCCAGGAGCGGGTAGGCTCTGACTAACTCCAAGGCCCGCATGTTGTTCTCGATGTTCTCCATGGTTTTCCCAACATTATGTACAGTCCTTCCTGCCCCCATGATACAGCTCACAGCCTCCTTGACCTTTTGGCCAGAGTCAGACACTTCGCGGCTGACCTGAGCTTGGGCTTGTTTATTGTGACGGTATTCCAAAAAGCTGGTCACCAGGCTGGTGGCTCCAGCTACTGCCCCCAAACCTTGTCCAGCAGCAGAAAGCATCAGGCTTCCTCCGGCTGTGACCGGGGCGAGGGCCAGCCCCAGGATGCTCATGGTCCCGGAGACCACAGCAATGGAGTCAGTCACCAGGTTGGTCTCGGTGAATTTTTTGTGGGTTTTGTCAATGTCGTCTGCGATGGCACGTTGCTTTTTGATGACTGCTTCTAGTTCCGCTTTCATCATGGGGAACTCTTTCATAAACATTAATTCTTCAGGGGACAGTTTGCCATCTTGTTGCTCTACATCTTCACCTGGAGGAATGTCATCATCATCCAAGATACAGAACAGGTTTCCTGTGATTGCCCCCAGGCAGCACTCACCCCACCCCGTGGGGAACCACTGTTCTGACTTCTAGAGCCACTCATTAGTTTGCCTATTTTTGAACTTTATATAAATGTTTCAGGTATCAGCAGTTTTAAAAAATGTTTGGGAGACTTCCTGGAAGATGGCGGCCAGGTAAACACTTGTATGGGCTGCCTCCCACAACCATATCAGTGCTGCAACGGGGGATCTTACCTGAGACCTGAAAGGACCACAACTGTGGGGCCCCGACTTGCGTGGACACGTGGATTCCACAGGAAGGTTGGATTTTGCTGGGGATAACGCAGGGTGTCTTTGTCCCAACGGCGAAAACGAAAGCGGCACCTGCAGCAGCCGCTATAGCAACCACTGCGGCCTCTGGGGCGGCAGAGACAAAAGCGCATGGTGAGACCCCGGAAATCTGCGTCCACAGAAACCCCCCACTTTTGGGTCTGGCATGATTCAAGAGAGTGGACGGGGGTCCAAGGTTGCTACTAGTGGGGTTCTCTAGGGAGCAACCCACTCTGATTCGACAGGGTGGGAGAACAGAGGAGTTGGAAAGCAGTCTGACTGTAAGTGCGCGCAGACTCGCCCATCGCGTACATAGGCTGGTTCCCCTGCAACATTTTGCTTCTGATTACAAAGGAGAGATCACCCAGACTGGCTGACCCTAAGAGACAGCAGGGGGAAACTGCTTTTCTGGAAACTGAGAAGCAGAGCAGGGAGAAATCATCCAGGATTCAACTCCAAGGCAAAAAAAAATAAACAACAACAAAAAAACAGGTATTGAGTGCCACAGAAAAAGAAGGCTAGAGCACCCAAAAAGATGGGACATCAATCCACATACACTGCCACCTAGGGTCTGGAGTACAAGCTGACTGTGTTTATTATTAGTTTTATTTGATCAAAAACCAAGAAACTAAGGAATTGCCACTGAGGTGCAGCAGAATGCAGGGAACTGCAATATGGTCTGGACTGAGAAACGGGCATGTCAAATAGAATAACACAAGTGAATGGCCTTCACAACTGCACACTTTTTTTTGCTAAATTTATTTATTTATTTTTTTTCATTTTTTGCATCTTTTACTTAAAATTTTTTTTTTTCCTTTTTTCCTCACTAGATTTTAACTATTACATTTTTAGGTTCAATAAGCATTTTTACTACTGCTATTTTAATTTTTTTTAATGCCATTTTATTTTCTCTATTTTACATTGAAATTACTGTTCTTCATTTTATTTTCATTTCTCCTTTCACATTGTTTAACCCTATCTCAACATGACCTTTACACCATCACTCTCTTCCTAACCTTCCCCATTTTGCTATCCTGTTTATCTTAACCCTTTCCTGTTTTAGATTTCCTTACTTTTATTTTCTCTTTATTTTACATTGGAATTACTGTTCTTCATTTTATTTTCATTTCTCCTTTAACATTGTTTAACCCTATCTCAACACAACCTTTACATCATCACTCTCTTCCTAACCTTCCCCATTTTGCTATCCTGTTTATCTTAACCCTTTCCTGATTTAGATTTCCTTACTCTTTCTGTATCGCCCCCTGCTAAAATTTCTACCCTACTTATATATCTAATTTTCAATCCCTTGTGCCAAGTGCATACACACCCCTCTCTGAGCTATATTAACTAGCAAAAAAAAAAAAAAATTGTTTTCCTCACTGTTCTTTTGATGCTGTTTAGGGGAATGATGACTATATTGTATTTTTATGCTTTTTAGTGAGAGTATTTTGCTTATTCTTTTGTTGTTGCTGTTGCTTGGTATTTTCTTATTTGATTAATTTTTGTTCGTTGTTATTTTATTACTTCTGTTTTCCCTTCCTGTGCTGGAAATTTGGGGGTATTGTAGATTGTATTATTCTCCAGGTACTACTGACAGCATTTGTTGGGGTTAGTGGATGTTAAATTGAAATTCTCTCCCCATATACATAGTTTATTCCCCTTTTATCTCTTACTCTCTTTCTCTTTCTCTCTCTCTCTCTCTCTCCCTCTCTCTCTCTTTTTCTTCTCCCTGTTACCCAAATTCATTTTGACAATCTTTTTCCTACCTTTTTCTTCTGCTCCATCCCTCTTCTCTTTTTACTCTTCCTCTTTCTCTCCTATTCCCTAATTTGCCTTTCCCTAATGGTTACCTTTATTGGAGGTTATTAATATTGCAAACACATTTCTGTTCTGTGCCATGTGTGTTGTACCTGGTTGTGTTGTATTTTGTGCTTTAAATCAACGCAGGAGAGAGAAATCAACACAGGAGAGAGATATCCTGAAAAGAGAGACCATGGGGAGACAAAGAAACAGCCCACAAATGAAAGAAAAGCAGGCATCACCAGAAAAGGAAGTAAAGGAGTTAGAGGGAAGCAACCTACCAGAGCAAGAATTCAGAGTAATGATCATAAGATGGCTAAAAAGAATGGAAGACAAATTTGACAATATGAGTGAGACCCAAGAGGAAATGAAGAAAAACCAAGAGGAAATGAAGATGACCCAAGAAGAAATGAAAAATGACATCGCTACTATGCAGAACTCAATAGAAAGCATCAAGAGCAGACTAGAAGAAGCAGAGGACCGCATCAGTGAGCTAGAAGACAAGATGGAAAAAATACCCAATTAGAGCAGCTTCTAGAAAAAAAAAAAAATTAAAAAGCAGGAGGAGAGCCTACTGGAGCTTTGGGACAATGCAAAACAAAACAATATTCGAATAATAGGGGTTCCGGAAGGAAAGGAAACTGAGGTAGACATGGAAAACCTATTTCAAGAAATAATGACAGAAAACTTTCTCGAGATAGAGAAGAAAAAAACCCACACAAATCCAAGATGCTCGCAGAGTCCCAAGCAAAATGAATCGCAGAAGACCAACGCCAAGGCACATTATAATTAAATTGGCAAACACCAACAACAAAGTAAGAATCTTAAAAGCAGCCAGAGAGACAGAAAGTTACATATAAAGGAACCCCCATCAGACTAACAACTGATTTCTCAACACACACTTATCAGGCCAGAAGGGAATGGGATGAAATATACAAAGTCATGCAAAGGAAGGGTCTGAATCCAAGAATACTGTACCCAAATTAAAGGTGAAATCAGGAGCTTCACAGACAAAAAAAAGACTAAAGGAATTTATCTCCACTAAACCAACAATGCAAGAAATGCTAAAGGGTCTACTATAAAAATAAAAAAATAGGAAGTGAAGAAGGAACACAGGGGTATAGAATAAAAATGGCGTCAAATGAATACCTATCATTAATAACTTTAAATGTAAATGGTTTAAATGCTCCAATCAAAAGACATAAGGTAACAGATTGGATAAGAAAACAAGACCCATACATCTGTTGTCTACAAGAAACCCAGCTCAGAAAAAAAGATGCACACAGACTGAAGGTGAAGGGATAGAAAAAGGTTTTCCAGGCAAATGGAAATGAAAAAAAAAGCTGGGATAGCAATACTTATATCTGACAAATTAGATCTCAGAGTGAAGGACATAACAAGACATAATGAAGGCCACTTCATAATACTAAAGGGAGCAATCCAACAAGAAGAAATAACCCTGGTAAATATACATGCACCCAATACAGGAGCACCCAAATACATAAAAAACAAACAAACAAAAAAACAACTGCTGGAGGACATTAAGGGAGAAATTAATAGCAATACAATCATAGTAGGAGATTTTAATACCCCACTCTCATCCTTCGACAAATCATCTAAACAAAAATCACCAAAGAAATATCAATTCTAAATAACTCACTAGACCAGATGGAATTAATCGACATCTTCAGAACATTCCACCCCAAAGCCACAGAATATACATTCTTCTCAAGTGCACATGGGTCATTTTCAAAGATACACCATATGTTGGGACATAGGCAAAGGCTCTTCAAATTCAAGAAGATAGAAATCATATCAAGCATCTTCTCAGATCATAATGGCATAAAACTGGAAATTAACTACAATAAAAATAATCCAAAGAAATCAAACACCTAGAGACCAAACAGCATGCTATTAAACAAGGACTGGGTTACCAGAGAAATCAAGGAAGAAATTAAAAACATCCTGGAAACAAATGACAATGTAAACACAACAATCCAAAAATCTATGGGACACAGCAAAAGCAGTTTTGAGAGGAAAGTTCATATTCCTACAAGCCTATTGCAAAAAAACTAGAAAAAATGGTAACAAATGATCTAATTCTACAACTCAAAGAGTTAGAAAAAGAGCAACAAGAAAAGCCCAGTGTAAGCAGAAGGAAGGAAATAACAAAAATTAGAGCAGAGATAAACGACATAGAGACCAAAGAAACAATACATAAGTTCAACAAAACCAAGAGCTGGTTCTTTGAAAGGATAAACAAGATAGATGAACCTCTAGCCAGGCCAACCAAGAAATAAAGAGAGAGGACCCAAATAAACAAAATCAGAAATGAAAGAGGTGAAATAACAACAGGCCCCGCCGAAATACAAAGGATTGTTGCAAAATACTATGAACAACTCTATTCCAACAAACTGAACAACCTGGAGGAAATGGACATATTCCTAGAGAAATACAACCTTCCAAAACTCAATCAGGAAGAATCTATCAATCTCAATAGAACAGTAACTTGGGAAGAAATTGAAACAGTCATCAAAAAGCTTCCAGCAAACAAAAGCCCAGGGCCAGATGGCTTCACTGGAGTTTTACCAAACATTCAAGGAAGAACTAAAACCTATCCTCCTCAGACTATTCCAAAAAATCCAAGAGGAAGGAACACTTCCAAACTCCTTCTATGAAGCCAGCATCACCCTAATACCAAAACCAGATAAAGACAACTCAATGAAAGAGAATTACAGTCCAATATTCCTTATGAACATAGATGCCAAAATCCTCAACAAAATTCTATTATAGCAAATCGGCTCCAGCAGAGCATCACAAAGATCATACACCATGACCAAGTAGGATTTATTCCAGGAATGCAAGGATGGTACAATATCCGCAAATCAATAAACGTGATACATCACGTAAACAAACTGAAAGATAAAAATCATAGAGTCATATCAATTGATGCAGAAAAAGCATTTGATAAAATCCAACACCCTTTCCTGACAAATACTCTCAACAAGGTGGGAGTACAAGGATCATACCTCAACATAATAAAAGCTATATATGATAAACCCACAGCCAACATCAGACTCAATGAGCAAAAACTAAAACCATTCCCTCTAAGAACAGGAACAAGACAGGGTTGCCCACTCTCACCACTTTTGTTTGACATAGTACTGGAAGTACTAGCCATTGCAATTAGACAAGAAGAGGATATAAAAAGCATCCAAATTGGAAAAGAAGAAGTAAAGTTATCCTTATTTGCAGATGACATGATATTGTACATGAAAAACCCAAAAGACTGCATTAAAAAACTAATTGACTTAACAAATGAACTTGGCAATGTAGCAGGATACAAAATTAACACCAAGAAATCCATGGCATTTCTGTATACCAATAGTGAACTTGCCGAAACAGAGACTAAAAAGGCAATCCCATTTACCATTGCACCAAAAAAATTAAGATACCTTGGAATAAACTTAACTAAGGAGGTAAAAGACCTATATGCGGAAAACTACACGACACTGAAAAAAGAGATAGAGGAAGATGTAAACAGATGGAAGAACATGTTCATAGTATGGTAGAATCAACATCATCAAAATGTCCACACTTCACAAAGCAATCTATAGATTCAATGCACTCCCCATTAAAATACCAATGGCATATTTCACTGACCTAGAAAAAACTCTTCAAAAATTCATTTGGAACATCAAAAGACCCTGAATAGCCACAGCAATCCTGAGAAAGAAGAGTAAAGTAGGAGGGATCTCAATACCAGATTTCAAACTGTATTACAAAGCCACTGTTCTCAAAACAGCCTGGTACTGGCACAAGAACAGACAGATAGATCAATGGAATAGAATTGAGAACCCAGATATCAACCCAAATCACTATGCTCAGTTAATATTTGACAAAGGAGGCATGAACATACAATGGAGTCAAGACAGTCTCTTCAATAAATGGTGTTGGGAAAATTGGACAGATACATGCAAAAGAATGAAACTGGATCACCAACTTACACCATACACAAAAATAAACTCAAAATGGATACAGGACTTAAACATAAGATGGAAAACCATAAAAATACTACAGGCATCCACAGGCAGCAAAATCTCAGACATATGCCAAAAGAACTTCTTCACTGATACTGCCCCTAGGGCAATGGAAGCTAAAGAGAAAATAAACAAATGCGACTACATCAAAATAAAAAACTTTTTTACAGCAAAGGAAACCATCAACAAAACAATAAGAAAGCCCTCTGTATGGGAGAACATATTTGCAAATGTTATCACTGATAAGAGTTTAATCTCCAACATCTACAGACAGCTTATATAACTTAATAAAAGGAAGATAAATGACCCAATTAAAAAATGGGCAATGGATCTAAATAGAATCTTCTCAAAAGAAGACAGAAGGAAGGCCAAGAGGCACATGAAAACATGCTCAAAGTCACTAATTATCTGAGAAATGCAAATCAAAACAACAATGCGGTACCATCTCACACCTATCAGTATGGCCAACATCAACAAATCAACAAACGACAAGTGTTGGCGAGGTTGCAGAGAAAAAGGAACCCTTGTGCACTGCTGGTGGGAATGTAGACTGGTACAACCACTGTGGAGAACAGTATGGAGCTTCCTCAAAAAACTGAAAATGGAACTCCCATTTGACCCAGTAATCCCACTCCTAGGAATATATCCCAAGACGCTAGAAACAACAATCAGAAAGGATATATGCACCCCTATGTTCATAGCAGCACAGTTTACAATAGCTAGGATTTTGAAACAGCCTAGGTGCCCATCAGCAGATGATTGGATCCAAAAACTGTGGTACATTTACACAATGGAATATTATGCTGCCATAAAAAAGAAAAAATTCTCATCGTTTGCAGCATCCTGGATGGAATTGGAGAACATCATGCTGAGTGAAACAAGCCAGTCAATGAAAGAGAGACACCACATGACCTCACTTATTTATGCATGATAAAGAACATTATAAACTGAAGAACCGAAAGATAGATATAGAGACAGTAAAGCAACAAGCAGACTTTCAAATTACAGCGGGGAGGTTGGGGAGATCTGGGGGAGATAAGAGATCAACCAAAGGATTTGTATACATGCATATAAGTACAACCAATGGACACAAAACTCTTGGGGAGGGAGGATATGTACGGGAGGGGGGGGCATTGGTATATGTCCAAAAATAATAATTTAATAAAAAATATGTATTATAAAAAAAATGTTTGGGATGCATTATTTCATTATATAAATACACCACAATTTGCTTATCTATTCTCCTGTCAATGGATACATTTAGGTTGTGTATTCTTTTATCAATTGATATTAGAGGCCTGGTGCAAAGAATTCATTCACGGGAAGGGTTCGTAGGCCTGGCATGTGATCAGGGCCAATCGAGGACTTCTGGCTGCCAGCTGGGGCCTTCCTTCATTCCATGCACATCCTTGCCCCACCCTGGTGGTCACCGCATGTCATATCACGTGATTGAACTCCTTGTCTCCCTGTCAAACTCCTGGGGGGACACTTTGCATAATAGCCATATATATATATTTAGATTTAGATTTAGATAGCTTCCAGCCATTGGCTATTATGAACAAACTAGAGGCCCAGTGCATGAAATTCGTGCAGGGGTGGGGGTGTCCCTGGCCTGCACCCTCTTGCAATCTGGGACCATTGGCTCCTAACTGCTCACCTGCCTGCCTGCCTCATCACCCCTAACCACTCTCCTGATTGCCTGATTGCCCCTCAGCACCTCTGCCTCAGCCTCCATTGCAGCGGCTTTGTCCAGAAGGATGTCGGGGATGCCATCTAGAAGGTCATTTGGCTGTCCAGTCTAATTAGCATATTATGCTTTTAATATTATAGATTTCATTTTAATTGGTTGGACAGTTGTCTAGTCACCAGATGACCAGACACTCAGAATATTAGGCTTTCATTATATCAGATTGATTTAATGATTAAAATATCATCTACACAGGACATGGCAACAATTTTTAAGGCCCCTTTGTATATCAGGCATAGTCCCAAGGACATAATAATATCATGAGAGCTTCAAAAAGCCCCATCTAAACACACAGGGGGGTGAGGGGTCTGAAACTCTCCCAGAATCTACTTGCTAGGTGGTGAGACATGGGGGTCAGGGGTCGGGGGAGGTGTGTGTCAGTCAAGAGAGAGGGGCACTTTGATTGATTGGTTGGTTGATTGATTGCACAAGGTGGTCATCCATTTGTAGACCTATGGGTTCACAGAGCTGTATCCACTTTTCCTAACCAGCCCTAAGTCACCACGTGGTCTGGCAGTGGCCTTGATTTAAGGTAGGTGTGAAAATGAGTGCTTGGGCTGGAAAACAGACTAGGTTTGCAAGAAAGGAAACGGCTGACCTTTTTGGAAGTTACTGCAATGGTCAGAGCAAGAGGCGGCAACTGCTTGAAGCAGGTTGGTAGAAATGATAAACATGGTGGATTTGAAGGGTTCCACAGGATTTGTCAGTGGATGTGGGACAGGCGAGAGCAGAGTCTAGGGTGACCTCAGGGTGAGTCGCGTTTGGGGCCTGAAGGACTGTTACAGGGAAGAGCCCATCTACTGAGATGGGTAAGAGTTTTCTGGGCGGGGCTTTGAGTTCATGTTGGGGTGGACTGAGTTTGAGATACCTGATTAGAGTGATGCTGATGCGCATAGATGAGTCTCGTACTGGCTGGGCAAGCAAACGTGGGAGCCAACAGCGTGGAAAGTAGTTAAAGCCCCAATATTGCACGTGAGCCCCACCTGAGTGGCTCGGTGCTTGAGCACCCACCTATGAACCAGGACTTGTGGTTTGATTCCTGGTCAAGGCACATGCTCAGGTTGCAGGCTAGAGCCCCAAAGGGGGCGTGCAGGAGGCAGCTGATCGATGATTCTCTCTTATCGTTGACATTTCTGTCCCTCTCTCTTTCTCTCTCTCTCTCCATCTCTGAAATCAATATATATATATATATATATATATATATATATATATATATATATATATATATAATTTTTTTTTTTTAAGTTGCATGTGAACCCTGGGGAGAGAGTGGCAGGAGCCAAGAATGGCCCAAGGTTGAGCCCTGGAGGACGCCACCAGATCAGCCAGGCAGCAGGGAGGCGGCAGCTGGCGAAGGACAGAACCAGGAACTAGTGTTGGGATTCAGTGAAGGGTGTGTGTGTGTGTGACTGCGGGTGTTTGTGTAACCTTGAATTCTCACGTGTTTTGGGCCATTCTGCTTGCCATCATTCTCTTACAAAGACGTCACTGGACTCTGCTTTTCCCTCCAATGCAAGCGGCTGGGAGGGGGAGCTTACCTTCGAAGATGGAAGCTGTCTCTGTAGTTGCCACGTTGGAAATGATCTCTTTGGTCTTTTCCAAATTCATAGTGACGGGGCGTCTGGCTGATGCGTCTCACGCTGCAGGAGGAAAAGGCTGACCTTGGCATTAGTATAGAGTCAGTGGGGTCAAATGGATCGCAGCCTGCCTCCGTCTCTCACCAGTTCTGTGATTTCAAGGAAACTCACGGCTCTCTGTTTCCCTTTCCTCACCTGTAAGGTCACGAGGACACTGCCTCTCTCCATAAATGTTGCAGGACAGTAGTTTCGGCATTTTTTCCTAATTATGAACAGGATATAAATCCTCTATTAAAGAAAAAGACTCTTCAATTGGGTCAGAAGGCGAAATCTAACTACATGCACTTATTACAAGTGATTGCAGCGGAAACAGAGGCTTAGAAAGTTAAACCTACAGGATGAGCAGAGGGGTAGCAGGCCAGGGAGGGTAGCACAAGGGGTTCTCATGATGGAACTTCTGCAAATTAACTGTGACCACGACCACACAGATCTGCACATCTGAAAAGTTGCAGAGAACTACATGCACGCACACACAAATGAGTGGAGGAGAGCTGGTGAGATGTGAGGAAGTGGTTTGTATGCACATCCACTTCTTAGTTGTGATAGTAGAGTTCTATAAGCCATTGCTCGTGGGGAAGTTGGGTAAAGGGAGGTATGTGGGATCTCTCTGTATGGGAATCTATACTTTTCTCAATCATCTCACCAAGATTGAAACTGAATATGAACTACGGACTTCTGGTGATAATGATGGGTCAGTGTGGGCTCAGTAGGGAATGCTGATAATGGGGGTGGCTGTGCAAGTGTGGAGGCAGGAGATATATGGAAATCTCTGTACCTTCACCTCAATTTTGCTGTGAACCTAAAAAAAAAAATAGTCTATCTTATATAATAAAGAGATAATATACAAATTGACCATCACACCCTCACACAAGATGGCTGCCTCATGTGGTCGAAAGTGACCGCCCCCATATAGTCACAAGATGGCCACCACAAGATAGCCAGCAAGGGAGGGCAGTTTGGAGTGAATGGGCTGATAAAGGAGGTCAGTTGGGGGCAATTGGACCAGCAGGGGAGGGCAGTTGGGGATGACCTGGCCGTCAGGGTAGTGGTTAGGGGCGATCAGGCAGGCAGGCCAGCAGTCCCAGATAGTGAGAGGGATGTCCAGCAGTTGGACATCCCCCAAGGGGTCCCAGATTGGAGAGAGTACAGGCTGGGCTGAGGGACACCCACCACCACCAGTGCATGAATTTTGTGCACCAGGGATCTAGTTTTTAAGTAGCAGACATTGTATGCAGACACAGAAAAAGGAGCATTACAGCATTATCCATAGTTTTAAAAGCCTAAAGGCCACCCCACATTCTTTTAAAGTGGATTGGTGACATAAGTTATGTAGCAATGACGTGATACACAGCCATGAAACCAAAAGAGGTAGTTGTGGAGGGACCTCCATAGACATGCTAAGTGCAGAGGCAGGGAGCAGACCCTGCAGAGATGCTTCCCTTGTGTACAAAAAAGACCCCTGTGCTTGTGCAGGCAGGAAGCTGGTCCACCCTATTAAGGTCAGGGCTGAAAGACACGCTGGGTTGTCACCGCACACCCTCCTGTACGTTTTGTCTCAGCGCTGTGTCCGCTTGTGATCCCAACACACTTTTTAAAGACTGCTGCTTGCTCCCTGGAGCGGGTTGCATATCGGTAATATGCCCCCAAATTCTGTGTCCAGCTGGAACCTCAGAATGTGACCTTATTTGGAAAGAGGTCTTTGCAGATGTAATTAGTTAAGGATCTTGAGATAAAAACCATCCTAGGTTGAGGGTGGGCCTAAACCCTTTTTCTAAGAGGAGAGGACACAGAGGGACACGGAAAAGAATGGGAGGTGCTGACAGAAGCAGAGATGGAAAGGGTAGTACAAGGCGTCCTTATGCTCAGGGACTGGACTGGCCCGAGCCCAGAACTCTGGGGGAGAGGGGAGGGAGCGTGAAGCTGCAGAAGGCAAGGAAGGCTTGATTCTCCTCCAGCGCCTGCAGGGGGCACTGGCTCTGCTCACACCTTGGTCTTGGACTTCTGCCCTCCAGAACTGTGAGAGAATACATTTCTGTGGTTCCAGGCCTCGCAGTGTGTGGTCCTGTTCCTATCACAGCCTTAGGAAAGGAATGGCTGGCTCTAATCTCCCCCCCCCCCCCATCTGCGCCCCCTCCCCCATCTGCATACCCCCATCTCCTCGTCTTTGGCACGCGCTCCGGGGCTTGTGGAGAAATGGCATCTTCTAGATAAGCCCCCTCTCTCATGACCTCCTCCTTCCCCATCTCCTCCTCCTGTTCCACTTCTAAAAATCTTAGAAAATAAATCCTCCTTTACCAATTTTGACGTTACCAAAACCCTTCTAGCCCACTTTCCTCTAATTATTTCAACGAATGCAGATTTACACATTGTAGACACAAAGAATCTCACGCATCTGCACTCTCACTCCCCAGAACTAAGCACCACCAGCCGTTTCTTCTACAAGCCAAAACAATTTAGACTCCCGCTGCTCCTACGGTTTTGCATGAATTGTTGTCACTTAACATTATATTCTAGTGGCTCCTCACGTGACTAAAGCGTTTCAGACAGTGTAGAGGCCGTGCAGCCTTTTACCCCGTGGAGGTACCCTTTCGCAGTTAATTGCTCCCCTGCTGCGGCAGCTCTGGGTTGTTTGCAGTTTCAGTTTTTCTTTTATAAATAACTTTAGATCCTTCCAGACATGTTGGTCACATGTTTGGTAATTTCTTTGGGATAGTCTTTGAGGTAGAATTAATGCATCAAAGATTTTTCTTCAAGAAGAAAAAAAAGGTTTCTCCTCTCTAGTTTAGAAAGCTGGGTTGGGGGGATTTGGCTCCGGGGTGCCCATGGCTATGATTTAAGCCAGACATGCACCTACTTACTTTAGGCACCTGTAATCCTCTCTGACACCGAGATATTGATGGTAATAGTATTCCCATTTTACAGATGGGGAAACTGAGGCACGAGGAGACCGATGTCACACAGTTGGTAAGAGGGAGAGCCCAGCGTGATCCCAGTTGATCTCAATCTCCCCAGGGGAGATTGGTAATGTCTGTAGACATTGGTGGGAGGTGGGGGTGCTCCTGGCATCTGATGCTGCTCAACCCTGCACTGCTCAGGGCGACCCCACAAGAGAATGATCCCATCAGCCGTGCTGAGGCTGAGGAACTTCCCTGAAGCCCTTCTCCGCCAGCACCTGTGACACCCCCAGTTCTCATGTTAGTTTTACTGGGCGGACGAAGGCCAGAGGGGCCAGCAGGGAGCTCTTGGGTCCGGACAGGTCCCCTCCCTACTGACCTCCCCAGATGTGAGAGGAGACAATGGGGTTGATGACAGGATAAGCCATGCTACTATATTTGAGGGCTCATATTTCTTTTCTTTGTTTAATTTTTTTTTTAAAATTGATTTCAGAGAGGAAGGAAGAGGGACAGAGAGATAGAAACATCCATGATGAAAGCGAATCATTGATCTGGCTGCCTCCTGTACGCTCCACACTGGGGATCCAGCCCAAGACCCTGGCATGTGCCCAGGCTGGAAATCCAGCCAGCTCATAGGCTGATGCTCAGCCACGGAGCCACGCCAGCCCATCTGAGGGCTCCTATTTCTGTTGCCCGATGGCCTCTCCCCGCAAACCAGCTCCCCCAGACTCCACCCTAAGAAAAGGGGGGTGACTCTGAAAACACAGCGTGGGGCCGGCCCCCTCCTTCCATGGCTGGCTATCCCAAAGAAACCTACACCCCAGGAGGCACTGGGGTTGGCTTTGCGTTTTCCCACACCTCACTCAGCCTCTTTGCTTCTGCAGAGACCACACCCCTGCACCTTGCCTGCAGGGAGCATCCAGGGAAATGCTTGCCTGTGGTCTCCCGCGTTCTGGGAGCCAGAACCTCTCCCTTTAGGACCCCGGGGTTCCCCTCCCAGGAAGGCCGAGGTGGCAGGTGGTGGAGACTCTGCTTGGTTGGTCATATCACACCCTTCATCAGGTTTTCCTGAGAGGGAGATGCCTGTCCTGGTTTTTTGAAGAATTTGAACTGCAGTCCTGGCCGGGTGGCTCACTTAGAGCATCGTCCATAAGCCGAGGTTGCGGGTTCGAGCCCCAGTCAGGCACACCCAAGAATCAACTCAAGAATGCATAAATAAATGGAAAAACATATCAATGTTTCTATCTCTATCTCTATTCTGTTTCTCTCCCTCCTCTCTAAAATTCAATTTTAAAAAAATGAATTTCAACTTCAAACCCTCTCCAGGCTCACAAAGTTGGTAACTGGCAGGACAGGTACATGAACCCCAGCAGCCCTGACCACAGCTCCTGTCCGTGGCCGACCCCTCAAGCCCCCAGGCAGCCTCCCTCCTCTGCCTGTGCCCCACCCGCTCCCACTGCAGCCTGAGAGTCCTTACCTCTCTGGGGCCCCCAGGTCTCCGGGGCACTGTGAGTGTCCGTCCAGGCTGCGAGGGCAGCGAGGGAAGTGGCCAGTGGCCAGTGGCCATCGGGTATTTCTAACCAGGCACAGGCGCAAGCCCCACCCCGCCCCGCCCCGGCCACCTGTCTGCAGCTCCCGAGCCCTGGCAAGAGCAGGGACCCTGAGAAGGTGAAAAGGTCCGGTATTCGAAATTCCTGGCACAGAAAAGCCTGTGGTCCTCAGCACCTCTTCTGGGAAGCCTGGGCTTTCCGAGAAGCGGTGTTTTTCACTTTCACTTTCCTTCTTGCCAGGTTTCCCATGTTCACTGGCCCTGAAATGCCCTGGGACTCTGGCAGCCTCATTGCACAAGTTAGCCGGGCAGGGCAGTCACGAGGGATGGAGAGGGGTCTGCGGGTCATTCTGACCCTGGTATTCTTAGATTCCTGAAACCTGCCCAGAGAGCAGTTTGCCAAATGTAGCAGAGGTCTCATCCCTGCCCCACGGCTTCGCCTGGATGCATGCAGCACGGAATCCAGAATCCTGCAGGTGGAGTCTAGCTAGCGGGAACCGAGAGAGGGGTACTGACCGCAGCCCTGAC